TGCAGCTGGCCAGTGGTGTCTGAGCTGTGGCTGCCGTGCATGGGAGGTGGTAGCTGCTGTGGCCAGAGTGGAGCACAGAGCCCAGCGCCACCAATTTCTATGGGTGGCTGAAGCTGAGCTGAGCAAAGCCCATGAAGGGAGAGGATGCAAGCTGTCCACTGCAGGGCTCAGGGCTGCCTGCCCTGCTCCCCTCCCCTTGGGGGCCTCTGTGGCCCAGTAGGCAGGATCAAGTGCAGGAAGGTGGAGCAGAGTGGCAAGACTCAGTGCCGCTGTTGCTGCTGCTGGCAGCCCCTGCCAGCCTGGAAGCAGTGGGGGAGGTGGCAGTGGCATGCAATTGTGCCCCCACCCACTCCTGCCAGTCAGGCAGGGGGCACCTCACTTTGGTGAGGGACTCGCATGGCTGGTGAGGGGCTCCTGGTGGTGGCAGCACTGATTTTCCCCACCCTGCTGCACCCCCCTGCACCAGGTCCTTCCCACTGGATTATGGAGCACATGCACATGGTACCCCCGGTGTCCTGCTCCCCTTAGCCCCAAGAAGCCCCTTTCAGGCTACAGCTCTGCCAGACTGCAAGAGGAAACCCACAGTTTCCCATGTTTTTCTCCTTTAAAGGAGACAATCAGCATTTTTCCATGTTTTTCCATGGCAAATGGAAAACCTGGTATTTAGTCTATGAAGATAAAACATATACAATTAATAGATTTGGACATTAAACAATTCCTTTGAAAATAAATGAATGCAAATTATCTGTGTACCAAAAACAAAGACACCAATATGTGAAGATGACATTAAAGAACTTAATAGAAATTGCTATGTATCATTCTAATTGACAGCTGACAGCCAAATCCATTGTCTGCCCCTCAAAGGAGTACAACAACAGATGACTTGGAGCACCAGCTAACAGCTGCGGTTTATACCCTGTGTGATAAGTACGCATCAAAAAAGAAGTGTCATTAAATTTCATGACCTACTCAAAGACAAAGAGTAAAAAACATGAGACCAGGTACTAATTTAAAAAGGAGTTTTTCTACTTACCGCCACAGAAGCAGGCTTAAGCTCCTACTTCAGATGTGTGTGTAGGGTGGAGGGAGAGGAAGGTTAGGGAGGAGAACAAGAGGGGAAACTTTAACTCCATAATAAACATGATTTGTTAAAGTACAGCTATACTGTGCAAACTGACTCTGGAAAAAAATGTCTTTATGGGGTTCCAGGCTTACGTTTTCTCAATGAATTTCATATGTAGGTCACTCATTTCCCAAATAAAAAGATGTTTTTCTAACTGCCACTTCATGCCTTTAACCCTTGGATATGAAAGCCAAGAAGTGCTGTCTTTTATTCATGTATTTTCATCAGTTACAAAGATATATATGACTGGCCAAATACTGGGATTTCACCCTTTTCTTCAAATTCTCTCTCATTTTATATCTGTATAACCCTGCTTCTGTAATGGAGTCTAAATGGACTTTATTAGCCATAGGGATGCTAAAAAAAGGCTAGTTGAGTCTAGATGAGATAGGCAGCTCATTCTCTCAAAACCACGTAGCTGTGAGAGCACTAATAGAGATGATTATAGACTGAGCCAACATGATTCTGCACACAGAGACAGTGGGCTGCTGAATAAGCAGGAGTCATTTTTACTTAGCCCCTTTTCAGAGCAAAACTGTCCTCTAAAGCAGGGCTGTCAAATCCATGTCACGGGGGTAGTGCATGCAGGGGCTGGTGCATGCAGTGTGGAAGTAGGACCCAGTGCCACCAGTGCTCTGCAGGAGGTTGGTCCTGGTCTGGCATGCAGACCGGCTTAGATACACTTATCCAGCCTTGGGGCCAGGTGAGTTTGACACCCCTGCTCCAAAGGATAAGAAAAAGTGCCAGTTTAATGATGTTTGAGAAAAGCAATCGGTTCGCTTCCCATTACAATGCTATTCATTATTGCTGCATCAAAGGTGCCCCGACAATTGTTGCATCCTCAGGACTGACTTGAGTTCACAATAGTATTCACAACGTAAAAAGCTTTAATAGTCTTTGTGGTCATGTTTTCTATGGGTTTTCTTTCATCTGCATGCCACAAAACTGCACGGAAGAGTTTAAAATAGTATATGGGCTTTTGCTTATTCACTGCTACTATAGTTTCCAATCTGATATCTCTGACTGGATGCAATCTGCAGTGACTGGCATGAACAAGATCAGAATCAGGTGCCATAGTCCAGATTTTTTAAAAAGACAGTTAGGTGCTTGAGCCTTTAACAATCAGATTTTATGCTTTTACTGAAATATTTATAATCAGTTCCCTGGGGACAGCCTACATTCATCATAGGACACCTATGTTGCTGAGCAGGCCCTGCCTATTTGTTCTCCCTGCACACCACCAAATCCAGAAATGTGGTGGTGATGAAGCTGTTCTGGGGTACACACCCCTGTGGCTTCTCTTCAGCATGCTGTAATCAGGGGCCCAAAAGCAGCACCAGTGGGCACTCTGGGAATGGTTTTACCACATTTTTGGTTTAGTGTGTGCAAATAAGAGTTGGTCAAGGGGCATGCAAGAAAACAGGCATTTACAGCAGCACCTGGAACAAGGCGTAGACAGCCCTAGCATTTTTCCAGGTCTCTGTTTCTCTTTCATAAAATAACATCACTCCTGAGGTTTTCCAGCAGAAGAAAAGGAGGAGGAGGCACAACAAGAAGAAAGGAAGACATAAGCATTACTAATGATGTTCCTGGTGACTGATTTATACAGTAAAATCACATAGTTGTCTGTTGTCAACTTTGACATAAGTTACTAATAGCAAAGAGCTCTCAAGGAGTAGAGCCAGAATTTGATTTCTGGAAGCCATTCACAGCCAGGAGCTTTCTCACTTTTTCTCCCTAGTACTATGGCTTTTACTTACAAACTTTGAACAAGGAAAGAATACTATGCAAGCCATACATTTCAGTAAAAACTGAAATGTACCAGTGTAAGCCACAGACTCTTCCTCACTTCTGTGCTCAAATGGGGCACGTGCCCATTTATGAAGGACGGAATCAAAGCAGTACACAGGTATAAATGTTTAATATGGTCAATTTTGGAAAGCAGAAAATAAAAAAGGTGTTTAAGTAAAAACAAAGCACAAGTCAATGTCATTTATTAACCTACTCATCACACTGTGCAGTTGTATAACAGTATAAGTTGTTGTAAAATATTTAAATTATCTGTAAAATATTTAACCTCCGTTTTTACATCTACCTCTCTTTCACTGGGGAGCCTTGTCTCTGTCCTTGTTAGTGCAAGAGCCAAGGATAATTATATTCATACATAGATTTCAAGGCCAAAAGAGGCCAACACGATTATTTAGTCTGAGCTCCTGCATAGTATGGGCCGCAGAATTTCACAAGGGATGCCTGCCCTAAACCCCCAATTCTGGCTTAACTAGGAAAGATGTTTCAGACAGACTCCCCATCTTGATTTAAAGATATCAAACAATGGGAAATCCACCACCTCCACAGAAAATAGCTCTCCAGGTTAATTTCTTTCCCCATTATTTTTCGTTTGAATTTGTCTACTTTTAGATCCCAGTCTCTGGCTTTGACCTTGTCATGGTCTACTAAATTAAGCAGCCTGCTTATTGATCACGGTTGAGTTACCTCTTATTCTTTTCTTTGTTAAGCTAAATAGATTGAGCCAGCAATGCAGGGATGTGGCCAAGAGCCCAGGGCAAAAGGGAAACAGCAGCCTTTGGATCACAATTGCGAATGCGAACACACAGCTGTTGGAAGCAGATGCTTATTTTCACCACCTGCCCCCAAATCAGTGCCCAAGGCACTTGCCCCTATTGCCCCTCCCTTCCCTTACTTATGCTACTGGATTGAGCTTTGTTAGTCTCTTGATAAAAGGGCAGATTTTCCTAACATTAAATGATTCTTGAATACAGGACCTGGCCTTCCTCCATGCACCCTAAAAGAAACAGAAAAGCAGGCAGGGCCAGTCCTAGCTCTCCTGGAGAGGGATTGGTGCCACTCTACTTCAATTTAAATCTCTATGATATACTTACATTGCTCTATCACTATAGCACAGAATCTTTTACGTCGTTTATTACAATGTCCATGTCAGTGCCCTCCTCCCCACCTTACAGATGGATAACTGAGAAACTAAAGGTAGATCTGCACTTCAGGTCCAGTGACATATGCTGGGATGTCTGCAAGCATCTCTTACCCACCTGCTCACGCTACAGGTGCCAAACTCAAAAAATGCAGCTGTGAAACCACTTTTGGAGCATCCTTTGTCACCTTTTTGAGACCTCTGCTTCTAGCATGCTTGAAAGAGGCGGGTGGGAGGATGTTCCCAGAGTGGCTTTACCACCATATTTCTCCATTTTGACTAAACAATTTGAGGCAGAAGACCAGGACATACTTTCTAGGATTTGTTGGGGATGTAGTATAGACCCTAATTGACATGAACAACGCATGCTTTCAATGGCTGGGGGCACGGGCACAGCTGCAGCAGCAGCAGAAGCCTGGTGGTAGTGAGTGGGGAGCTCCCGTAGATGCTGTCAGCATGGTCAGCGGCGGGGGCAGGTAGAGGGTGGCGAGTGCTAACCGCAAGTCGGCGACCACCCACAGGCGCCATTGGCAGTGGCCAGGGGTGATCATGGACTGTCCACTTTTTGCAGGGGGTGCACCACCATGTGCACCTGCTACACATCACCTCTGCTAATTGATTTGCTCAAAGTCACAAAAGAAGTCTATAGCAGAACAAGGAGTAGATTCTAGGTCTCTCGAGGACAATATTTGAGCCTCTAGATCAACCTCCCTCTCTAAAATTACTATAAACATAAACAGGGTTTTACTATATCCAAGTTTTCTAATAATAGGGAGAATTCATATAGCACTTTTCAGTGTAATACCAGCATAGAAACATTAAGATCTGCTATAAGGTGACTGAGTTTTTTTGTATATAGTTCCCTAGATAAACAAAAATTCTGAAATCTCAATGTACCAGTCTGTTCAGAAGAGGGGTTCAGGTACTTACTGCTACACCCGTCTTAAAAAGGAGGTAATGGACAGTCTGTGTTACATCTGCTGCATGCATTAGGTTGTGATAAGGATTTTTGTGTTTGCTGTATCCAACTTCCAATGCTTCGACAAAGGAAACGAGAGCAGAAATGGGAATCTAAAATGAGAAGCACCAAGTTAAAGCAGTAAAATACATTTATGACAGAATTATCTTTAATGATTAGCATTTTTAGAAGTCACTTGCATTTAGTGCTTCAAACTCTGGTTTATGCTTCATAAATAAATAATAGCCTAAAGCGTCTTAGCAGACACTCCAGAGACGGTGTGGATCAAGAAGTTTATTTTACCCACTCTGACTTGCCCATTCCTAATTACATTTCAGATGAATCACACATGCATACACATATACAAGACAGTGGAGTACTATGTGCCTGTTTGAAGACACATGCGGAATGAAAAATAACACGCACTACTTGACTGACTGCCTCTGGAGAAGTATTTCTAAATAGGTCACAAAGTGTTTGTCTGTTTCCATGACCCACTGATATATATCATTGCTTCATAACTCGTGTCCTAGATTTGTAATGATAAATAGTACAGGTTGTCTGAAACATCCATAAGAAAAGCGTTATTTAGCAGAGTCTCCATGTAGTTAATGTTTGCCAAATTCTCCTTTCTGGTACTGTATAGGCTTGCTGTGCTCATTTCCTTCAATAGCAGTACTATGCACTTATGTGAGAGCAGAATTTAGTGAGCTTTGGAGAAGCAGCGGCTCAGCATTGGTGATGTAATTCTAACTGCATGAGCAAGGGAAATGAAATACCTGCCCCCTGCCTCCTCCCGCCGTGCTGGTGTCACCCATTCTTACTACACATTCAAGAAACTCTTGTATGATGGTTGTGTGGATCTCTATATTCCTCGGGGCTACCAGCCAGCAGAAAACTGGATATCACTTCTTTTGCTAGGCGCATGCATGGGCTTGGGGGTACAAATCTGACTGATTCACCCTTCCCAGAAAACTGCAATAGGGAGTAGGAACCTCTGCGGAAAATGAGTATCAGAGCAGCAAAAGACCAAGGGAGAATTTCTGTAAGGCAAAATGGTGAAAATCTCTTAAGAATAGGGGGTTTTTTTCTCATGAGATTTCTACTATTTCAGTCTATATGCCAGATTTAATACAGAAAAAAAGTCTTCTAACGCAGTAAAAGTTACAGGGTGGCTGGAATGAAAGTTGGTCGTAGTCTAGTAAACTCTGGAAAGACAGGCTGGGGGGTGAGGGTGAATTTGGAAGAAGCAGCACAACTCAGAATTACTGACCTTAAAGCGATTGATTAGATCATAGCGTGTGAGAAGTTCATAGAAAATGAATTTCAGTGCGTGATCACCACTAGCATCATTTAGTGCAAATACGTCGAAGGACCACTTGTCTACATTCTGCAAGGGGATAGGAAAAAGATGTTTATGCAGTCATTCCTTTTGCAATTATAGTGCAAGCTCTGCCACTTCAAATCTTTAACAAATGAGAAAGTGTCACTGTCTGGAACACACAGAAAAATATCCATTACTGTTTCTAGATGACTCTGATTTTATTTAATCAAAGTATATTTTGTTTAACTCTGCAACATGTCATGATCACCACAGACCTGGCAAAGAAGTACTTTCGGCTCCAGTCACTTAAGATATTGGGCTTTCATCAAAAAAGCCTGAATCTCGAAAGGTTTAAAAACCTGGTTTAGTTTGGATCTGCCTCATTGCATTAGTTGCAGCACTGTGCTACCTCCTAAAACTAGGAAAATAACCCACACTAAAGCTACTTGGAACAGTAAATATAGACTTGTCAACGATACCCCTGTGCTTCATGCTCCCAGGTCTGCAGAGTCTCTGCAGTTCTCACAAGATGATGTTCTCTAATGAGACGTATTTTAACTTGTAGTCGGGGATAGGAGCATAAGAGAGCAGTCTCTCTTGTGATAAAAATAATGAAAGAAATATCAGCCTAACTCTGAGGTCCTGTTTTCACTGGGCATTACTCAGCTTTCAAGAGCTGGCAGGCAAACACACACTGGCAGGGTTTGCCAGGGGAGCTGTCTACAAGCTAAACTAAAATCAAGACAAACAAACAATTAAGCTCATAAGACAAATTCCTGATCCTATTCTCTTGAACTGTAAGAGGACCCAGCAGTGGAAATGGAATGTGTCTGTCGTGCAAAGAATGAGACGTTTATAGGAGTGGTCTTAGGTCGCTTAAAATTATGTGATACGGGATTTGGTTAGGCCTCTGCCAAAACTTGGGGAATATACACCCAACATATTATCCAAAGTGAGAGGAAATCAAAAGAGGAGGTAGGATCTAAACACAAGACAGCTAAAGAGCTATTAATATTCTTTTCACTGTTTGGGCTATATATAGGTACTGATGCTATCTTTGACGTCAGTCGAAAACTCTCATTGATTTTTGCAGTGTAGGATCAAGCCTACTGAACACAGGAATAGCTCCTTGACAAATCTGCCTGTATTAAGGAGGTGAAAATGCCCAAACACATCTGGAGTGGACAGGGGGTATATGTAGACCTAGAAGCCAGATGCACGCCTTATCTTTCCCCTACACATACATACACACACCTCATCTTCTTCCATCCTGCTGTTCCACACTGATCTATTTATAGACCCACTCACAAATGCACCTGGGGGAACACTGTGCAGCAATGATTTCTTTTTCTGAACAAAAAAAAGTGTCTTTAACTTTTCAGTAGTTTTATGCATCACAAAGCACCAGATGAAGGAACAGTATCCAAAGTCAAACATTCAAATAGCATTCAGTTACCTTGTTACCTGCATATTTAATGATGTGTATTTAATGATGCTGAATAATCACCCAATACTTTAGTATAAGTTTAACTAACTGTTACAGAGCCTAGAGCTTTCTAAAATGCTTTTTTTCCCCTCATTGTGAATTAAATCTAAAGACACAAAATAAGCCAATAAAGAATAGGGGGAGGGGGGGATTAAAAACCCTGTTCCATTCTTCCTCCCTCTAGTAATGCTGGGAAATAGATCCAGATAGCAATTGATTCATTCCAGTTTTAATATTATTCTTATATTGCACATTATCGTAACATAAATATCCAAAACTTAATGTGACCCTAATTTTATTCTTTTTTTTTTTTTTTTTTTTAAAAAAAAATTTTTTCCCCCGGTTTTTCAGAAAATTTTC